CTCAAGTTTGATTCTGTTGTTCCTATCGTGTTCGACTTCCTCCATATGTACACCCAAAAAGTCAACTACACCTAAAAATTCTCAAAGAAGATTTTCCACATGTTCCTCACGGCACGAAGACAAAGGGGGGAGGGGGGACACGCGCCAGGGTGTGGAGCACACGCGATCAAAAATCCGCCGAGGGTTGCGAGAGTCCAGAGCCGAAGAGGGCGAATGGGGGGCCGGAGAGGGGGTACACTATGGCTCGTGCTCCTGGCCGATACGGTCTCGCGCATATCGGACAGTGTCTTCACCTGCACGACATATGGTGACGGGTGAAAAAAAAAAACAGGAATACTGTATAAAACGATGAACGCTATGGGGATGCAACTGGGGGATGCGCATCAACGACTAAATATATACAGCTCAGGGGTTAATTTGTTGGATGCCATCGAAAAAAAAGCCCAACCGGTCAGTGCGGCAACCCCTCAGGTATACACCAATGCACAACTTCCGGTACTTGACCCCGACCATCCTCATTCTCACCCCCTCCTCCCCCCCTCCCGCCCCTCTGCCGAGCACATTCTCTAAACCACCGGCCTCATCAGCGTCACGCAACAATGCCTACCCTTACCTCAATTTCACATTATTTTTTTCGACGTGGACTAAACACTCCGATGTAAAATCCTAGCAGCAGGGTGAATCACCGGTGAATCTTTATTTTAGTTGAAATGTTGTGGTGCGATAAATGTTCTGGGGACGGTGGCGACCAGTCCCCAAAACAGTAGATACAGTAGAGTCCCGATATAGTCGCACGCCTGGGGCTCTAGGGGAACCCAATTCGACGAGTGCGAGTGTATTTCCGTACCCCCGCCACGCGCCCAGTCCTATCGTAAGAGGGAGAAAGGAAATCGACCTCGATAAATCTCGAAAACCTCGAATCACTGTCACCGTAAAACTGAAACCGAAGCGACACTACGAGATGAGAAGGCGCGACCGATCTCGTGTTTCTAAAATTTACTCTCAGAGTATTTTACAGTTACGATCTCCTGGAAAGGCGGAACAATAGCGCATCTAGGAAAACATCGATGTGTTTACATTCGGCAGTTGAAAGTACAGTCGACTCTATGGATGGTAGATTATGTCACAAGGCCGATAAAAGTATTTTGCCACTAGGCCCGATGAATCGTTTGGTTTAATCGCGGTTTTTGCGCCTAATTAATTTTATATTATAATCTGAGATGACGGTGAGAAATAATTAAATTTATATAATAATGTCAAACAGGGTATTTTGACCCTTGTTATATACCCTTAGGCTACTATAGTTAATGTACACCCTGAAAATGGTTCCTTTGAATCTAATAAAAATCTTTATTTGAAAATTTTTACATATTTCAAGAATATTTTCGCTACAAATGTATGAACTTGTTCACTTGTTTCAAGAAAAAGGATTCAATTATATTAAATAAGCAATTTATTTATTTCGAATAAATGATTTTTTAGTGATGGGCCAATTTCTGAATTTCCCCTTGAGGTCTTTTATATAACAAGTCGATACGAGCAAAACAATAAGTGATAAATCGAGATATTTAATTTTATTTTCGAGACATTTCACTTGATATGTCATACGTATTAAAAATTCCAGAATTTCGAAGATTACTCATAAAAAATTTGAATATTTCCCACGTGAAAGTGAGGATTGAATAGAAAAAATCAACTGTTAAATATGAGAAAATGAACCTAAATAGACGAGAAATTGGGATACACAACAGAGGAGAACCCACAGGTTCTTTTCTATTATCTGTCGAAAATTGGAATTTCTAAAATTGGGGTACAATGCGTTTTGTTTCGTAAGTCAGTTTACCTGGGCCCTGGACGTTTTAAATAGGGTGCCAATGAGCTATACAACGGATTCACCTTTTGTTGTGGATTTCAGTTGATACAGGTGGACAATACAATATTGTGCCTTGGAGTGGGCCACCTCCTGGGACGCCTTGAAAGACCTACCCCAACCGAGGAATAATATAAATATGATTATGTATATACGTCATCCGGATAAATCTATGAGCATCGAATTTCAAATCATAATCTCTCTCCTTCGTATTTTTATTTTCTACTATTCTTGGTGGATTCGTGGGAATCAAAAGTTGGTGTATATCAAATTATTTCGGAGTCCAATTGAAGAGAAAATTTTTGAATCAATCCCGAGTCGAATATTAGGACCTGAATTCCCCCTTGAACACCTATCATGAGTAGGAGGACCAGGATGAAGTTAGGGTGTATTTACATTCAGAAAGACCCCCTGGTTTCCGCCTGAACGTGCGAGTTATTTCCAAATTCCGAGGGTTCAGGAGGAAAACAGGAGGTGTGTTAAACCTATTTATCGCCTGCACCCCCTAAAATGTTTTCCACTCCATCCCTCCTGGAAAGAACCTACAAACCCTTTCGAGGTATTTTTTTTTATTTTTAATTATTAACATGAGAATTACGGGTGAAAATTGAGGTCATACGCAAGGGTCATATATAAGGGTCAAAAATAACGGTCAGAAACGACAGTCAAAAATAAGGGTGGGAATTTCAGTAATTTTCACCGCAAACAGAAATGAACAAAATAGTGAGCTACTCAACCATCCTGGCTATCAGGGTTAATTCAGGGGATTTATGATTCCTTTTCATTCGACAGGAGGAGAAGGGGGAAAAAAGTATCAGTAGAGAAGGGTCTTTACGCCTTTAGGATGAGGCAGGATCATATAAGGAGTTATTCAGGATGTATAGGATGAAGAAAGGAGGAAAAAATATCTCAAGGAGGTAATAGGGGGGAATAAGGTCCAGATATTCGACTCGGGAGTCGAAAAATGAAATCGAAGTTGGATATCTTTGTGTTTACCCAAAGCCCCCAAATTCCGATTTTTAGAACGAAAAAAGCCACCAGGCACAATAAGTATTGGCGTCAAGCGTAAATTACGGAGTACAAAGACAATGTTTAAACTTCATTTGGCTGTATTTCGTTCCAAAGGTGACGTGAAGCAGTATTTCACTGGGTGAGATACATTGCCAATGATTTCACCAATTAAACCTTCGGCGCAATAATATATCCTCAAGGAGTGTTCAATGAACATCAAAGGTGGTAGCCGTGAGGGAAATTAATGTATAAGAGAAAGAGCGATGATTGGACGATGCGAGATATAAAGAAGTAGAAATGAATTACAGGTGGACTTTTTTCCCTGCCACCACCTGCGTACGCTTCGTACATGGTTTTTTCTCTATTCTGGTTTAGTCTTCTGTACACTGTTGCTGGTACATTGTTGCATATGGCTAACAGTTGCGCGCGAGTATGAAGAGTGCGCAAAAATTAGACAACAATTACGTATTTCGGCTCTCGTCTTGTAATTTTAGGGTTTTTCTTTTGTCTTGTCTTGCGTTCTCTTGTGCACCTCGACAATTTTTTTTTTCAATTCCGTGAGATTAATAAATATAGTTTTCCTGATTTGGATCGTATGGCTCGTGATTAGTTGACAATTTGCGCATCTAGTGCTCCTTCAGAACGAGTGTTTTCAGAAGCTGGTCTCATCATCAGAAAATACCGGCGTCGATTGAGTAACAAAAATGTTGAGTACTTGCTGCGTATGAATTCATGGTTCTCATCTCCACTAGCTCCAATAATAAAAGATGCGCTATTTGAGAAGCAAAATTAATATAATCGAGGAGTACATAATTCTTCATAATATCCAGGGATAGACAAAGTGTTATTTAACAAAATGGTCTTGTATTATTGATGACTTGAGAGTTTTTGACGAATTTTTTGATTAATTATTTTTCTCTTGTTCCATGTCTCTTTTTTCTTTTGCCTCTTATGGACTTCCCTCTTGTCTTCTCTTGTCTTGTCTTGCCTCTCATAGAGAGGTATCTTATATAGAGACTCGACTGAATTCCGCTAATAAAACCACCGTTAAATACGCCATAAACTCTACCCTCCATAATTCCCCAAATATTGAACTTATTTTTTGTCCAAAAATAAACACTTCACCGAACCAAAAAATTTAACGACCCCTCCTGAATATTCGTAATGATCGGTACGAATAATTTCACAGGCGCCCACCGAAGCTATAACTCGATACATTTTTTTTCATCGTTAAACTCCCATAAATGTACCACCTGCATTTACGACTTGCAAAATTTTTGACTTATTAAACTGTAAGTGCAAAGCAAACACTTTGAAATTGCCAGTAAGGCTGATTTGCATGTGCGTTAAGCTGTGAAAATTGTGGGTTGAATTTTTTCTAGTGTGAACGCGTTGACCAAAAAAAAATTTGGAGCCAGGAAGAATTTCGCAGGTGATGGAATTTAATGGCGCAATCTCCAAAAAACCTAAAATACTCACCAAAGACAAATTCAATTTCATTTTTACACGATTTTTACAACCTCGAGAGGTTCTCAACCACCCGGTGAAATTCAGATTAGAGATTACATTTTCGAGATTCCCCTCTGCTTTACGAGGCAGCGGACGAAAAATTTATCGTCACCAATTTGTCCACAGCTGATAAATCAGTTTAGATAAATCCTATGTGCACCTGTTTGTCCCCGTCTCATCCCATTTTTTCGTTGACTCCCTAAACTGGTTGGTAAGATTCATCTTTTGTTTCTGTCTCATTCTCTCATTCCACCTTGTGAGAAAAACAAAATAACATTGCGGGACGAGTGCGAGTCATCGCTCACGAGCTCCTGGTACGTGTGTACCACCGGTGCTGTCTCACTTCTCTTCCTTTAACCGACGCTGTACTTTATTACCACTTCGAGTATAATCACTTGGACAATTTTAAGGTCCCAACATAATGCTCCCATAAAATTTCAACTAATTGTACCCACTGACCATGCACCAGCAAATCACGAGGAGTAAATTATTTCCTTTTGAGATTATGGTGAGATTTACTGGGAAGGAAGGTATATGTAATAAGAATAAATCAGCGGGGGGAGGGATAACATGTTTATTCCGGTTCAATTATTGGTGGAACATCGGCTCATTAATACGAATATTTCATGATTTTTTATTTTCATGTTCTTCATCGATGGCTCTTAAAGGCAACTACGTAACTCAGAAAATATTTCCAAAAAGTGTATATCACGAGTATTGACTACAGAACACTAATGCCAAAAAACTAATATCAATAATTGAGAAATTTTCTCGTAGATATTAAAAACAGAGTGGAACTTCCATAACTGCACGCCTCCCGGGGTTCGGGTTCTCGGAATTTGCACTTACGAAAGGACCCTTCTTCGCCAGCGAAAGAGCGAGAGCGCTGAGTCAGAAAGAGATGCGTGTAGAGGCAATGGTGGGGAAAAGAGCCACAGGGCGGCCTACTGCGCACTGTTTTCGCACATTGAATAGAGAACGAAAGAGGCTAGAGAGAGAACGGTCATAAAGGGGAATTGTAGTGGTGGGGGTACGATTCCCCGCGTGCGACTGGACAGTGTGCACTTACGAAGGTGAGCAGTTATGGAAGTTCCACTGTAGAGTGGCAAAGAAACAATTAGATAAAATGAATGAGTAGTTTCAAAATGGTTCACCAACCCCTTCATTTCCTAACTGCATGAAAAATTAATATTAAACGAAATGAGATGACAACAATTTACCAATTACAAAACTGATTCGCAAAGCCCTGAGTGGTTTGGGTTTCCGACAAGTGATGAATGGTATGAAGTGGCGCCTCGTATTGAGTCAACTATAAAGTATAAGGAGTTCTGACGTCATTATCTTCCTGCGCCAATTTGCGATACAGTGTATTGACTAAACAAAAAACATATTGTAATGTAGAAAAATTAAAATGAAACAATCTTAACTGGTAATTCAATTATACGAGGTTAAACACCAACTATTGTTGGAACCGACGACAGTGTAAATAATTCAAAAAAACAATACGAAATGATAAAATCGTGGAATTTCTCATGTATTGAGATGTTTAAGCGATCTATTTGAATAATTTCTCAATGAAAATGAAGTGTATGAAATAGCCTGATTCAAGCGTAAGAGTGAAATTTGGGTCAAATAATTCAATTGTTTTTTCGGTCGTTTTAACGAGATATAAACAATGAATTTCAAGTGGTACTTACTTAAAATTTAATGATGATCGAAGAGGGCACGTTGGACTCCAAAATTGGCAAGGTTGAATGATGGTGAGTGGCCGTAAGAGCCCCCAAATGGTCGATGAGGGCATAAAAATGAATGTCACGAAAATTTAGGTAGCATCGCGATGACCCAGTACGAGAGGCTTTAATGGCACGACAGCTGGGAGCATCCTGATATTGTTGTTGGCTGAATGTATGAGTCCATAATTCGGTGATTATGGATGGCTCATAGTGCACGAAGGAAAAATTACACGAAAAATAATTATACAATATAGGTAATCAGAAAGCGAAATCCCCGCTGCGCAAATTGTTAACAATTTTAAATGCACAACCGAAATGAAAATTATTGAATTTCTCATGTATTCATGTATTCAGAGTCTAAACGATCTAGTACAATAATTCCTTCATAAAGCAAAAATGTATGGAAAATCTTTATTGCGAAGAAATTTACCGGAATCAACAGCCAATTTTGTAATTTTCAGGTACCAATTTTTATTTCATTGTAGTTTTGATGATATTTTCAATTAATGCCAATTTTCAAAAATGGAATTTCCAATGTGGACATCTCAATTCAGCATTCCCCGAGAGATGATAGTAACAGAGATGATTACATCTTAGGTTCAGGCTCAGGTTTACCCTTAGGCTCAGGCATAGGTGAGCCACCTGAAAGAAGGAAAGGTTTATAATTCAGTGGAAGCTACTCCCTTATGTTGCACAAAATACTGGACAACTGATCTTTCGTTTTGTTCAATTCGCATACAACTCGTCTTCCATCATTCATAAATCATAAATCATAAATCATAAAGTCATAATTCAGACAATCATAAAAGAAATTGATCAAATAACTTTTTGTTGATAATTTAATTTTCAGACATGACATGCGAGACTTTTCAAAATGTGAAGATCTAATTGAATTTTTCTCAAAACGAGATCGGCCGTGCGTGCTGCGCACGCGCCTTCTCGCCTCTCGCAGTGGCGCTTCGGTTTCAGTCTTACGCTTATGCTTATTCGAGATTTTCGAGATATTTCGAGATCGATTTCCTTTCTCCTTTTTACGATAAAAAAAATAGCACAGCTCAGCGGCACTCGAAGGAACTATCCGTCTTCACAACAGAGTTAGCACAAATTTGTGAATTTACAAAGTTCTATATTTTCATAAATATTCAACTTTGAACAGACGCATTCGCGGATGGACGCCGGGCTTGAGGTGTTAATTAAAATAGAGACTCACCCTGGGCAAGAGCCATTGCGATAAGGGCGAAGATGACGAAGATACTCAGAAGCTTATTCATCGTGAATTGTCGATTGTTGACTGTGAATCCACTAATTTTCGAGCCGTTTATATACCCCTCGGCCGAGGTTATACCGATAAACGTTGCCATATTTTTCTACTTTGTTATTGCCGAACGATGGTTCTAATTATCGGTACCAATTAGGCGACCGAAAAAACAGCGCTGCAATTAAAAACTTCTAGGTCAATGCGAAAACACGCCAATTACGAGAATTTACTAAAATGAATTTTTGTTGGATGAAAATTTATGCTCTTACAACTACACAAATGGAAGTATCTGTACTGTAACAAAAAATGACAATTTTAATATACTTTTATTACGCTTGTGCTCGTGAAAATTATTATCTTTGTCATCAGACATGAATTGATGCACATTTCCAATAATTTTAGAACTTATCGATGCATTTTCTCGCACCGGTCTGTTAAGTTATGAAAGATTACTCAAAAATCAGTCTTTTGTATACAATTAATGATAGAGAGTCTAATTTTTTATGACAGGTCCAATCATTGTCCCATACAATATTTTAATGTTTGACTCGTGTCCCTAAAATTCCGGGCGAGGGAAAATGAAAAAAAATACCATTACTAACAAATTCACGGCGAGTAATTTACTGGAACATGCGATTGAAAAATAGAATACAATGATGAAAAAATACGCCATCTTTCAAACAGTGAGATAGAAATGAAGCCCAAGTTGTAACTTTAAAATCAGCTGTTATAAACGAAAAGTGAATCCCGTAAACAAGAGGTCATTTTATTCTCATAATTAAAAGAGAGGGAAATAAATTAATTACTGAATAAAATGAATAAGTCGTGAATAAATAAATACAAAAAATAGTGAAACATATTTTATAAAATATCTTTCTGAAGGAATTATTGAAATAGATTTTTGGACTTCACGAAACTCAATATCGATAAATGAAAATAAACGTTGTAATAGAAATATTGAATTTGTCTTCTGCGTAGAATGTGCTCGTCCTCTGCCAGCGTTTCTATATGATTTTTAACCGCTTGACCACGCAATTTACTTATCCACAGTAATTACCGCGACATTATCAGTCCAATTATCCTTTTTATTTTTTCATGTCCACGCCAGCTTCTCCAAGGTGGAATAACGTGAATTCGATAAGGGAAAGGACACGTGGAATGGCTTGTCTACGTTCTAAAGTCATTATTGGCGAGGTTTCCAGGTGTCAAATTCCCGTACGTGAATACCATTCCATTTGGAGGGATTGAAAAATTCACAGGAGTGGGGTTCATGTAAAACATTTTGATGAATTATCATTGGAGACTAAACTGTTTGAAATTTTTTGAAATTTCATGGAAAATATGATAAAATTTTCATGAGAGTGACATTGAATCGGATTTAAAGGAAAAATGACTATGAAATTTCAAGTTTTAGGTAGAATTCATGGAAATTCATGAGCTTTCGTGAATATTCAGAAACGAAATGACATGAATTTTCAATTTTTCCCTGAATTTCCCTGATTTTTCTGAATTTTCACGGAATAATTCAACTGAAAAATCAAGGATTTTATTGATTTTCAGATCATTCGAACAGAAAATCGATGGAATATTTGATTTTTCAATCACAATATTTCCTGAAATTTCAGTGGAAATTAAACACGATAAAAATTTTCGGGATTTGAAACGGAAAATTCAAACAAAAATTTTAAACAGTGTAATTATGAAAATCATGAGGGTTCTTCGCTGTTGAAAATTTTCGACTGAAATTCATTTCAATCGAAGTTGATCGATGTTGATCCACGAAACGTTCTTGACTCAGGAAATTTTTTTACTTGAAATAATTGGAGCGTAGTCTTCCTTTCGCTGTACAAATTCTAAAAATGTTGTCAAACAAATTATTCTCTCTCAGTTAATTGTGAAAAATGAGTATCATCATTAAGCCATAAAATTAACTGATCGATTAATATGTAAATCATACAGGGTATGTTGATTACAGCGTTGATGTGAACTTCAAATGATCACCAGGAGCTAATTAAACCCACGAATATTAATACATTCAAAAATGTATTGAGCAATCGGACCACGTTCTCGACATGAAAAAAAATGTTGAAAGAAGAAGAGTGAGAGATTGGCGTAATTAATTCTCCTCTTCTCTCCCGACTCAAATGGCACAGAGTTTCACCGGTGTACATTATAATCTCCAGAACGACCGAGCGACTAACATTTCTCATCCAACTGCTCAAGCTCATGATCAATGTGCACCTGCGCATGCGTCAATGCGACACGCATTTTTTAAAATTTTATTTGATGGCGAACACGCGCTCACGAATAACAAAACGGGATCGAATTCCGTAACGCGTGGATGGGGTTTCTGATAATGATTCAGTGGCGAGTCGATCCCTTTCCCTCCCTGATACTTCATACATTTTATAAAATATCTTTGTGAAGAAATATTGAAATATATCTTTGGACTTCATGAAGCTCAACACGGAGAGAAATTTTTTAGAAAAATAGTGCTAGCATGGAAAAAGTGGCGTAAAGTGACGGTCAGGAAAAAATTCCAGTGCCGGCACTCGAAATTTTATTGGGGGAAACGTGAATTTTTCCCCGTATTTGTGGGAAAATTTCACAAAAATCTCCAGAAATTTTACCTTAACAGCCCTAGAATTTTTCGAGAAAATTGCTCTCCGTGAATATGTGAAAAAATCCACAATTTCATCAGTTCGTTTCTTTGATAAGAATTATTCGAAATTTGCGCAAGGAGGGAATGATGATGATGATCACACTCAACTAAGTTGAAAATCTAACGAAATTAATTAGAAAGAAATTTTACTAAATTTAATAAAATAAAATAAACAATGAATAATTATACATGGTAGACAGAACTGATGTGCAAAATAACCATTCGGAAGCATATTGCTAATTAATTAAAAAAAATAACTAGACCATATAAAAACAAGAGCAATTTCCCATTTGTTTGTTATTATAAACAAAATTTTCAGTGAAATGTTTCGAAGAGATTTTGAATTTTTAAAATGATTTTGACAATAAAGAAAATTTAATATCAAATACAAAATAGAATACACTTTTTTCGTTTCAACGCTTATCGTGGAGTAAAGTGGACGGACGATAGAAACGATTGTCTCAAGTCATCAGTTTCACTGACATCGTCCGGATTTCAGGGTGGAGAGAACAAATAGTGACTGGACCGTGGGCGTTACTCGAGGAGATTTTCAGTTTTTGTCGGTGGGAAAATGGAACATGGAAATCTAGGCTGAACAGCTGCCGCAAGGTGCTCCGGAAAAACCAGTCGGGAATTCCATCCAGGTTAATTCATTCGGACCCACCCCATGGGTCTCAGGCGCATGGTGTCCTTAATTTCAGATCCCCATTTATTTCAGATAATTGTTCCGAAGATCTCGGCTGGATTTCGCTGGTGACCTTCTGATCTTCTGATTTTTGCGCCGAGATATGGAGAAAAACTCGTTGTCGAATTGAGGGGAGGGGGGGCACCTGCTTCTGGAGCTGCTTCACAATCCTCCTCTCTCAAATTCTCAGGGATAAAGAAATTTAATAAATTTTGTTTTCATAGAAACTTTTTTTTATGATTATTCTAGGATTATTTCACTTTACTTCCGGACGGAACGGGAGCAAAGTAAACGCAATATCTCCCAAACTACTGGTTCGATTAAAGTAGCTCTACCCTTCAGCCGGGCTACGCTGTACTTTTGGATATTTTCAGTTTTTAAATTTTTCAAATAAATTGCATGGAAAAAATTTAAAAAAATTCATACCCAGTCAGTATTATCTAAATTAAATTTCGCAAAATATTGATATTTTTTAAAACATTTCCCTCTTATAAATAAATAATAAAACTTGTTTGCAAAAGGGTGGATTATTTTTTATGAGGTGTCAAAAAAATTCTTGATTTTTTCACATCTAATGAAAAAAAAATCAGATTTTAATCTTTGATTACAATGGAAATATTGATTTTCACATAAGACCTTGGGTAAATCCTGATTTTTAAACATTTCTTCTTTGAAAAACATTTTTTTGCAATTTTCAATAATCTTTGAATTTATCGTAAGGGTAGAGCTACTTTAATTCACTAGTGAAGTGGTAAAACGGTACAAGTCAATTTTGACTATCGACCAGTTTTCAATGAATATCTCTGAATCTAAGGGAGATAGCAAAATTGTTGTTATAACCTTTTTTGTAGAGCCGATTGAGTGCTACAACAAATGTGATTACGCAAATTTCGCTATCTCCCTTAGATTCGGAAATATTCCTCAAAAACTCGACTGGGAGATAAGTCGACTTAAACCGTTTTACCACTTCGCTACTGAATTTTAGTTTTTCTTCAAAATACTCGTCTTGATACCCCCCATCAAGATCAATCAAAATATGAATACTCGTTCATACAAAATGTTCGAGATATTCGCGTTTTTCTATTTTTTTCAATTGAAAGTTACTGCGACGTTCTATAATACGCCTAAAACACGGAATAAACATCTGATATTCTGGCTACTAATTAGGATTATTGAGTCACACTTGAATATAAAATTTGGTGTCGATCGATTCAATACATCCTGGTATACCGCAATTTATCCAAAAATCGTTGTTTCTAAAAAGCCCCACATTATCGATTATTTTCGCCTCTGGGGCTTATTCTCAACTTATTTGAACTCTTATACATTTCGCAGAAATCGAAGATTTCAAGTGACAATATATTAAAATTTTTTTAAATTTTAAGTGAACGTGACATGTCATAAAACGAACTTTATTACCTCGAACGCGTAAAAATATAAAATCATAATTAATGGAGAAGAAAGTCGTATGAAAATATGTCGTATAATGAGACCAGAATCCGTAATAAATTGTTGCTTCCAACACGCGAAAAAAAATACAAGGAACGAGAATCACCTTATCGTATTAATTAAAAAATCCACAACTTTATATTTGATATGATGAAGACGTCATTAATCCATTCGCAATGAATCAGGCGACTTGGATAAAAATTTTATAAATAGAGGGACCTCTCAACTAACAAATTCATGTACTTGTTTATTCTGACG